TATATATATATATATATATATATATATATGAAGAAGAAGCGACTAGTGTTCCAAAATGGCGTAGAGAAGAACTTACAATATGATTGATGAATTCCAAAGAGCATCCCCTAAAAAGAGAAACCTTTTCAATGTACGACTTATATAGAGTTTCTGATATCTGCAAGAAATGATTGTTTAATATAGATGACATGATTGACATCATGATAATAAACATGTACGAGTTCAACATAATTCTTTTTTTTCCAAACCTTAGCACGGATAGAGCTTGGAAGGTTTTGAATAATAGAAGAATCCTCATAGTTGCTATCATACTGTAACCGCAGGTGATTTTTGATTTCATTGGATATGTCTCTCCCTAATCCGTTTCTATCAATATACTTAACGAGATCTTTCATTCTATCTCTATATCTTTCTGTCTTTGATCCTTTGACGATTAAAGCTGTAATGTTACCGATCAAATAAGCACCAAGAACCATGTCAAATGAGACATAAAACATTACGAATATCATCTCTCTTAAATTCACTGGATGGATATCACCATAACCTGTACAAGGAAACCCACATTCATTCAGCCTTCACATTATCAGGGTTTTATGCGAAAAAGAATTCCCTAGGGTGATGAAACTTACCAACTGTTGCCATAGTAACAATTGAAAAATATAAAGATGTTATATAGCGCTTCCAAAGATCGATGTCTCTGAAGTTTGTGTAGCTATAATCACCAAGTGTTAGGCTCCCAATCCATGTGTATCCTTCTTCAGCAGCTGGAAGTGTTGTAGCCAAATAGTAGAATATGCATGCTGCCGTATGTGTGCAGTAGAGCTCAACAACAATTAGCTTTAGAATCCTTGAAAACAGATACTTGACACGTATGTCCTTTTCCAATTTGGAGAAAAACTCTAGAACCTTTCGCGCCCTCACCAACCTAATGAGTATAAGGCATCTCACTTCTTCTTTTCTTCCAGTTGCCTAATGAATAGAACAAATAACTTCTCGGTGATGATGAAAATAATTGATCATATCGATCAGCATGCATGGCCATGAAAACTTGACTGAAAAACGATGTGCATGGTTGTGTCATCCATTACATCAAAAAGCACTATCAGCGACGGCCAAATCCGTGTCAGAATTGTCTTTAAATATATGGTTTTAGAATTTGTAGGACTTCTGTCGCTAAAAGTGCATTCTATTAATAGTGATCCATGTAATGAACTTGAAAATGCTTGTGGTGACGTAATCTTCTTAAGTAAAAGTATTTTGGCATTTATATGGAGTTTAGAGTGATACCCTATAAATATTATCCCATGGCATACATGCAAGTAAATCAAAGATGAAATGAGATTTCAAGTACCTGCAACAAGAAAGTGGAATGGAACGCCTAAAGTTATGGACCGAAATACAAAACAATAACAAGACTCTATCATTATGTTATTAACGTATTTTCTATTTTGAGGGTTCCATGTTATGCCATATGTAGAAAAAGAGATATGATTGACCCGAAAAATAAGTAAAGACTGTTAAGAACTTTCATTTGGAGGATATATAAAAAGTGAAAACTAACCGAATAGCAATGAGGTCTCGGTTAGAGACCATCTTGTAGGTCTGGCTGTCTCTGAAAGCAACAAAAAACTGGAGGAAAACGTCTACAAAGAAAGCCACCTGACCAAATATGTCTAAGAAATAGAGATGATTAGGCAATCCCCTAAAGAACCCAAATTCCATTGGTGTGAAGAAAGAAGAGTACACTGCCCATAACAATATGAATTTCTCCCATGCCCGATACCATCTGCATCATCAGAGTTTTATTGCATGTTATGCATTCTTGCACTAAAATTAATGCTTCCATTTTTCTTTTATAATAATATATGAAACGATTGGTTCATGAAACGAAGATTGGGAAATAAAATGATATTGATAGAGAGCATGCACTACACAATAGTACAAAACTGCATGATCCGGTCATTTCATATGATAGAAGACCACGTAAAGATATTTTATATATGAAATTATATATAGAAAGTAATACAAAATGGCGTATATGAAGTAGGATGATAGACATTGATTTAAGGATATTGTAGGGTCTTTTGTGACATACATACTATAGTTTAAGGTTAAGAGTGTAAAATTAGGAAAAGTCAAAGTGACGATCTATACCATATTTAATTTAGATGATCGATTGTAAAGTGAATTTTGGGTTAAGTTTTAGTTTTTCCACAATATTTTATTTTCTTTCAAGTTCCTCATGTATCACCTTCTATAAAGGACATTTTTACATCCATTAATTTGGTGTACTTCAAAATCTACTAGGCCACAATGGCAAGTATCATCCTAATGGAGGTTATTTATATGATGGGCCGGTAAGTGTCAAAGAAATCCAGATCATCTTGTTGTGTGTAAGCTTTGATCACGAATCTTGATTTGTATTTATTGATGGTTCCATCTCTTTCATCTTTCATCTTCTTCTTGAAGATCCATCCATAGCCTAATAGTTTATTATCTGAAGAAAGATTCACTAGCTCCTAAGTATGGTTTTGCAAATATAGTCTGTCTCATTCTTTATATAGCTAGCTAAGGTAGTGTCCTTTTGAAGAAGCAACCCTCTCTAAGGGTCACTTTTTACCATGAAAGAGATATAATTAGAACCAAATGCTTTCTCTATCCTCTCCCTTTAATTTAGTTCTTCAATTCTAGGCTCTACCACTTCTTTCTCATGACGGTCTTTGTAAGAAATTGGGGTATAAAAAAAATGCTTGGAAATTCTGAGAATTTTGTATACACTTTCAGATTAAAGTATTTGGGTGGTACTCCCAACCTTTAATCGGATAAGACTCAGAAATGAGAGCAAGAACAGAGAATATGGGTGTTATGAATTTCGTGTGTACCATCAAAATGATGACCATAAATTAGTTAAGTAACATTTTCATCAGAAAACTGTCACCGGTTGTATGTCTGAAAACTGTTACAAAAACAGTTTGATGTCTGAAACCTGTCACTAATCCGAGTTATTTATATAAGGGTCAAAACAAAGTCAAAAAACTGTCACTCGACCCCAGCCAGGGGCTCTGCCCCTTGGACCCCGCTCCCAGGGGCGCTGCCCCCGGACCCTTGTTCGTTTAGGGGTTTCGCCCCTAAATAACAGTCTACTTTAAATCTTGAATGAACTTAAACAAGAGTGCACTCTGCACCTTCCTTACTTGTTTAAATTTCATCAAGATTGATTTTTGGTCAACACGTCAATCAATTATACTTAAATACACATTGATGATACAAAATCACCAACAGTCTTATTGTTCGTCACGGGCAACATTACAATATATAATGTTTAGATGGACTTTCATATTCCTTGTTTAAGCCAAGAAACCCATTTTCATTATCTTTTTCTTATGCATATATGATTTTGTGATTCATGCATGCACAAGGAATCGATATGAATTAATGTGGTAATTAAGCATAACCAATAAATATTTAATCCATGGTTTTGGGTCCTATCTTTTGAACCTAGGGTGCATGTGGGCACCACCACTTTGACAAGCTCGTTAAACTCGTAATAACTTGTAAGATGGTTTCCTTCCCATACAAAACTTATAGGCCGGGGGTTTCACCCTTTCTCTTATCACTTATCTTATATTTAAAAGATTACACGATGATTATACAAGCTTGAAACATGCTAAACCGATAATGCAACCATCGATCTGGAACAACAGCCGTTTGTGCGTGCTTTGTAATATAATTAACTAGGTATGAGACTCATGTATTACATGAGTTTATTTAAAAGAAAAAACTAAATATAAAATTCTAAACATTTGAGAAGTTTGAATTTATAAGAAAAATGAGAAAAATATTGAATTATAAAAATTAAAGTGTTTTTTTTTCTCTAAATTTAAACAAATAACTTAGATAAATAAATAAAGGAACTTAATGAAACTTGAATTTAGTAATTTTGAAATTAAAAGGAAAGTTCATTAAAGAAATTAATATTCATTTATTATTGTATTTAAATACTATGTGGAATTAATAAAATAGAAAAACCATAAAATGACATGTGGAATAGAAATTAATTCAAAATAATCACAAAATGACATTTGACAAATTGAATGAGAGTGTGACAAGTGACAAAAAAAACTTTCATTTATTAGAGTAGATGTCTATTAAATGTTTGTTTGTGTTTTATTTTATCTGGTACGTGTATCCCATAAATTAACTAAATCATACATATTACTTTGATAACGTTGATATGGTTTCCAAAAAATGTTTTAACGACCAAATAATTTTCATATATTAATTACACATAAAATCAAAAGTAACATGACATTTGACCTTAGCAGTAAGGAGTGACTCTATCAAATACGAGGTCATGAGTTCAAGTCTCGTTAGGAGACATATGTAATGTTTAGGATCGGAGTAAGATAATTTGACGTTTAAAAAAAAAAAAAAAAAAAACTAGCGACAAATAATTAAAAACGTATAGTGTTTATAATGTCATAAGAAGTACATTTCATTTAAACTTATTGTCTATATAAAAATTAAAACCCGTAATAAATTAACGCATGCTTTAATTAATTATAAGCTTATATATAAGTTGTCAGTTACTAATCAGCATTCTATTTATATATTGTAATTATTTTTTTATTAATTTTATACATATAATAAACAATATAATCTACTCTTGTTTATATCTGAAGATGATTAGATGATAAAACGTGGCATTAATTGTCATCACGTTTTGTACATTTGACTTTAGAACTTCATGTTCTATATCTACAGATTTGACTTTTTTTGTATTGCAGTTTGCAGGTTTTGTTAACTTCTTGTTTCTTTCTTCCTTCATATGTTAGCTTGTTTCAAGCATAAATTATTTCGCAGATTATAATATTTAAGTTATAATTTTTATANAGAGAGAGAGAGAGAGAGAGAGAGAGAGAGAGAGAGAGAGAGAGAGAGAGAGAGAGTACGTAAGAAAGAAACCTGTCTCGTGGATGGATGTAGAAACCTTGAGGGATGCCATCTTTTTCTCTGTTGAAACCCCTGTGCGTACTCGAGTCGAACCCTATGTCCCATGCCAATAGTTTGAACACACTCCGACGTCGTTTTCCCAACATCCCATGATCACTGACATCCTCCACTTCCACTTCATCCTCCTCCACCGCTGCCTTCCTCAGCCTCTCGTCTTCTCTCTCCTCCAATTCAGTCTTCTGCCGGATTTCGCTACTCATTTGATATAAATCGACAAGGGTGAAAATAATCAATAGATTGATCACTTAAATCAATCAGGAACACTTGTATCCTAGATCAAATCCGCTTGATTAACTGATATTTATCAATTTCTGCAGGAATGATCATGAGATAAAGTTATTTGGAGCAATCGAAGAATATTCATGTTTATGTAGAAAGACACTACAAGAAATATCGGTATTAGCGGCGACACCTTTAGCTGCGCACCGGCTATTAGCGGCGACAAACAATATTTCTTGTAGTGAGAGTAGAAGGAGATGCTTGCAGAATGTCATGTATCATGGCAATCGATCTAAGAGCTGTTTACCTTTACTCAAATCATGAGAATAAAAGAGAAATTTGATGTTGTGAATGGAAGAGATGATAGGAGAGAGCCATGACAATGAGAGTACAATTTATAATTCAAAATGAGGAAATATAAATTCCTAATCAATCATATTTAGTTGATAGCTGTCTTAGAATAACAATATGACTCGCTTGATCTTGAATAAGGAAAATTTTAAATTGGGTTTGATGAAAATGTCAAGTTATCTCCAACCTTGATATTATTTTAAATCTTTTTAAAAACATTAATTTCTCTAACAACCCTCTTTTTAAACATATCTAGAAAGCTAGAGTTAAAATTTCTAAGCTTATGAGGTTGTAAAAAACAAGGTCATTTATAACATAAATGGGTAACAAAGTTTAATGGTCTACTTTCGGAGTTTCTTTTCAAGTGGGCAAAAGGGGAAAAACCATTTTCTCAGAAGTCAAAAACCATATCTATACTATGGTGGAATCATGGAGAAAATAAAGTTTAATAATAATCATTTTACTTTTATTCTTTGTAATTTGAATCGGTTATTTATTTACATCAACAATCAACTTATTACATTTTAATCATTTTCTAAAAAAATTATTTAACTATGCCATATTTTTAAAAATAAAATCTTTTATGATAAAAAAATAAACTTTATTAAAATATCAATATTTGTTTGCCTTCTTTTTTATTTTTCTGAATTTAATATTACATTTCTGAAGTTATCTAAATCAAAAAGTAATAAAAAAGAATTAATTCAGAAGTTATATAAAAGAATGGTGCCTTAAAAAGTTCCTTATAATTTGCCCATGACTCTCGTACCTATTGATTGCCGGAAAGTCCAATTATACATACATTTATTGTCCTGTTATATTTAATTTTCTTTATCAATCTTTTTCATTTTTAGAAAGTTATAGTTACACCCGTAACATCATATTTTTTAAAGCTTTTATAGAGTTATGTTCCAATGAGAACATTTTTCCCGTAAGAACATTTGAGAACATTTTTTAGCCTATGAGTTCAAAAAACAAGTGTGTTTGTTATTCAAATACAAATTACCCACCTAACTTCCTCCACCATATTATGTCATTCAGATACAAATAACCGACGTCGGAGATGAAATCCACACAACCGTAGATCTGTTCGTCACTCACGTCCTCACCTTCTTCGCCGCCAACGATGGAGTCGTATTGGAAAATATCGTCGGGTGGTTCATGAAAGAGGTCCAAGTTGCAGAGTCGCTTGAGGTCCTGTTTTAATCGTATACTGTGGTGGTCACGATTGACCTCAGGGGGCTGAGGTAGGAGACTTAAAAGCTTCATATTAACAATATTTCTTCTTCTTTCTCTCTGTGCCCTAAATCGATTTGTCGTTTCCATCTCCACATGACGATGGTCAACTAGTGGATTCTAGGGTTTAATTCATTTAAGTTCTAATAATTGGACATGCCTATGTGAGGGTAATTATCAACTATTTGGATTGATTACGAGTTCGCTTTCACAGCTTTAGTAATTGATAGTGTCATACCACAAAATATATTATCTACACATAATACATCAGAATGGATTTGTGAACTTTTCGGCTAGTAAAGTTGATATTTGTAGAGTTTATCAATGTTGCAGGTGGTCACTCTTATCTCTATAATTACACACACACAATCATAATAGGTAGTAAAGTTGATATTTGTATCTTTTTTATGAACACCAAGTGTTCGATGAAATGCCTCAATGAAAAAGTAGCATTTTATGTGAAAATCCTT